GCCTCTACACAACGAAAGGAGATTTGACCACACAAAAGGCCACAGCATCTTGGTCTTCATATCTTCGAGTAAAATATATAGTTTCGAAGCGTTAACCAATTCTCATGATAGTGAGAAACTTCAGCTATCAGTCCTTAATCATCCTATGCGAACTAGGATAAATACTGCTTTTATTCAACATATTCTGGTAGTTTCGAAGCCTACTTAAACCAAATATAAAAAACAGCGTCGCTTGTAATAGCATATATAAATTTAGTTAATGGACAATATCAGTAGAAAAAGTTAAAATAGGAAAGGTCTGGCTTTTAAAAAATTCCTGTCTATTTTGTGACCCCAGGGCAATCGTGGGAATCGAATCTGCTATGCAGCCAGGATGAGGCCACTTTTTGGGAACCAAGGCACTGTGAAGTGTAATGGAAACATGACGCCAATTCATATAATCGTGGAAAAATTTTATTATCAATCTTTCATGATAGACGATCTAGGGTAAATACAACTCTTATTTCTGATCGTCTGGTAGTTTATAAACCCACTAAAACCAAATAAAAAATTCTTTAGACATTTTCTTCTGGACAAATTTTGAATAATAATGCAGGTCGGTGACGCTAATGTTGTATAAAGTTATAGCAACCGATTAGAGTTAGTAGTATTAGCATTGAACTCGAACAAAGTAAGTGGATTGCCCTATCTTGCATTTACCTAGTCCAGGCCGATAATGTGCCATAATTACACCCTGGACTGGTCTCAGCAAGAGTAAGGCCAGGCCTTTTGGTGGATTTGTCGAAGAAGCAAACGAATATTTGCTATAACATCCGACTACCTTAATTATTTTTCGCATTTAAGTAAAGTTTCGAAACTACCAGTAAATCAGTAATATGAGATGTATTCACCCAATTTCGTTTAAGGTGATGATGGATATGACAAAAGGCCTGGACTTCTCTGAAATTCACATCTGCCCTGTGACCCAAAGGCACTCGTGGCAACGTGGCCGATTAGTTAACGTGTCAAGCTCCCATTCTGCACTGTCACGGTTCGACTCCCGCTGGGGGTGTTGATAAGACCGATGCGAGGTCGAAACCGCAGTCCAGAATAATTAAGCTTGAAATGCAATTTTCAGAACCTTATTAGTTGGTATATTTTATGGAGTTCAAGAAAGCCCACTGACCATAAATAGCCGATCAGCCAATCAGCTACATGCAGGCCATCTCTGATTGGTTGGGAGAATAGTGCAAGTAGTTTTACCCAATTCAGCGCCATCTCATTTCGCTGATTTATCCTACTTGAAAAGTATTCAAAATTTAGTCTCTGCAGATTTCGTAACCAAGTGGCAATGGTCCTCTATACACTTAACCGTGCACTGAATCATGACAACAGAGCTCACTAACATTGCGTCATAGATACTTTTCCCTCCATCCCTGTTGAGCCTGGTCGACCAATCGAGAGGCCCACGTAGGAACAAGATGAGAGGTCCAGTTGTTTTGCCTTGTCTCATCTTCAAGTTTACTATCCTGCTTCTTCTTATTCTTGCTCCACTTATCGGAGCTGCACAGACCTGGAACACTGACATTCCATGTCGTAAAACCATGGTCCGAGACAAATTTGACAACCTCGGCTTCTCGGACAACCAGGGGATATCAATTGGCTGCTGGCCACACCCACCCCTCGTTAACATTAAGAAAAACTCCGATGATGTCGATAGTGTCGATGATGTGGATGATGTGGATGGTGTGGACGGCGTCCTCTTTCATCACACTTTGGCCGCCTTAGACACCTGCTGCCCAGTAACAGGCCTCGAAGGAACTGCCGCAAATGTGGAAAGTAAAAGTCTGGAGGTGGGGGTCGCGGGAGCAAGGATGATGTCAGAGCAGACCGGGGCATACCATATAGGGCGTACCAAGTGTACTCGTCACTATTTGAACGAGGATGAAGCTCGGCAAAATCTAGGTCAGGAGAACGTTATGATCGGATTCACAGAGCTCTTTCACGGCCAGTACAAATATTCAGTAATCTCCGGATCAAGCCACACTTCCACCAATGAGTCGGAGTTTATCTCGATGGTATACTCTCCAGGTGGGTGCCCGTGAATGCGCTCTTTGCCTTTAATTTTATCTGCTATTTTGAGGAAGTAACATAAAAATCTCATTGTTTATCTATCTTTTTCTGTGGAGCCATTGGGAGGGTTGTTAGGTTATATTCTTCCTTTAAACTTTTCAAGTCAACTTTAGGCTTCGTGATTTACTCGAAGGTATGAAGACCAAGATGGTGTGGCCTTTTGTGTGGTCG